CTGTGGTACAGAGGGCGTGCCCCTTCAAGGAACTGACACGTATCGTAGTAACGACGGACGCCAGCCTATTTGGGTGGGGAGCCCATGCTCTGACCTGAGTAGCGCAGGGTCGTTGGAGTGCGCAGGAACTGTGGAACAGTATAAATTGGTTAGAGCTTCGCGCAGTTTGGTTGCTCTGATCAAGTTTTGGGACTTGGTGAGGGCTCAGAGCATACTAGTCCTCACAGACAATATAGCCGCCAAAGCCCATGTCACCTGACGGGGGCACTCTGTCGCGGTTACTCATGCTGGAATTGGAGAAGCTACATAACTAGCAGAGGCTCACACGCTGTCAATCCAGGTGGAGCACATTTCGGGCTCCACGAACGTGCAAGCAGACTGGCTGAGCATGGTGGACCATGCAGAATGGCGTCTGCATCTTGCCCTGCTTCAAGAACTATCCCTCCGGTTTGGTTACCCCATGGTGGACTTGTTTGCTCAGTCCCACAGCACCCACCTTCCAAGATTCTTTGCCAGGTTCTAGGAACCAGGGGCGGAAGCCATTGATGCACTTTGCAGCCCTTGGCCACAGGTCTGCTTTCTGCCTTTCCACCAATACTGATCATTCCACAGGCCATTCAGAAACTATTGGCGGAGGGGAAAGAGGTACTTCTGATTGCACCAATGTGGCCGAGACGTCCCTGGTACAGAGACCTCATCAATCTCTCATTATCATGACTGTGGCAAATACCAGATGACAGGATATCCCTCTCACAAGGGGCTCTAATCCATCCGAACCCCCAGTGGATTCAACTTGCCATGTGGCACTTGAGAGGGATATCCTAGCCCGTCAGAATTTTTCAGACATAAGGACGATTCAAGCTACCAGATGCCCAGCTACCACGCTCATCTATGATGCCACCTGGTGTGCATTCTGCAGGTGGTGCCGCAATTCTGACATTGAACCCACTTTGGCTCAGGTACTTGATTTTCTACAGATAGGCATAGACAAGGGGCTAACACTTAGCACTCTTCAACGCCAACTCACAGCATTGTCGAAGGTGCTTGATGACTGTCAGGGTCACCCCCTAACTCTCCACCCGAGGGTACGGACTTTCCTCAGGGGCTTTACAAATCTCAACCCAAGTTGTGGTTCACCACTATTCCACGTAGGATTTGACTGTAGTACTCCAGGCCCTCACTAAAGCACCGTTCGAGCCCATTCGTACCATCAGCCTTAAATTGTTGACCCTTAAAACAGTTTTTCTTGTAGCTATTACATCAGCTAGGAGGGTGTTGGAGCTGGCCACGCTGTCAGTACACCACGACCTCTGTATATTTCACCCGGACAGAATGGTTCTCCGACTGGACCCTGCATTTCTCCTCAAGATCAACACTTGGTTCCACCAGGCACAGGAGCTTATTCTCCCGGACTTCTGTCCACACCCAGCGCACCCGCAAGAGAGACAGTGGCACCATCTGGATGTTTGCAGGGTGCTCCGTCACTATGTGAAACATACAACTTCCTTCAGAAAATCGAAAGCTTTAATTGTGTCCTTTCAGCCAATGTCGATGGGCCAGAAGGCGTCTTCCATCACCATCGGTCGCTGGCTGAAGGCGTGTATTGCTCTTACCTACGAAAGTCAACCTAGACCAGCTCCCTGGCGCATCACTTCACATTCCACTCAGAGTGCAGCCACCTCGGTGGCCTGGACAACACAAGCCTCTATTGAGGACATATGCAGGGCAGCGACCTGGTCATCAATGTTTTGTCAAACATTATAAACTGGATGTGTTTGCCTCTGTGGAAGCCTCATTCGGGCGGCAGGTATTACAAAGGGTTCTTCCAACTTCTAGGACCCTGGCCCAGCCTAGCTCCTGCCCTTAGTTTCATTGCTTTGGCATGTCCCATGCTTGGATTCTCCAAGCAGCGCACAGGAGAATGACCATTAACTTTACCTGAACGGTCCTTCTATGTGCGCTGTGGTAGAATCCAACCTCACCCTTGGCACCAGCCGGTCTAGGGACTCTCGTGCTCAATTGCCACAAGTTCATTGACCTTCACTTTCTGGTCCAGACTCATATTTCCATCTCTCGGATCGGCTGTGCCTTCGTACAAAACTGAACTCTTCCAGTCAGAGGAGGCGTGGTCAACGATTTCATAACTCAGTCTTTAGACTAATGGACAAAGTTAACTCTGTGCTTGAATTCTCCCGCAGCGCATATAGAAGGACAGTTCAGGTAAGTCAACGGTCGTTCCATACAAACATTTCTATTTCCAGTGACAAAATTTCTGTATTCCCAGGCTTCTGAAAGATGGTTTGAAGGATTCTCAGTTTAGCATTCGTTACCAGTACCTGCTGGCAGCTCTGTTATGTTGTTGTGGAAAGGGTCTGCGAGAGGAGTTTGATCGTCAATGTTGGCTGGTTAACACCTTGGCTAAGCTGGCTCAACAAGTCCGTGAGGCTGCTCCATCATCGCGACAGGTACACATGGTTTTATGGTGACTGGAGGAAAGAGCAGAGAGGATTAAGAATGATAGACTTCATGTGCAATGATGAAATACTGCTTATTTAACAAAAAGTAGAAATGATTCTGCCAACCTAGCCGTTCGAAAGTATGTAAAAATGCAAGTAGAAAAATAGGAACCACCTTTGTTGGGAAGGTAATAGCGTTCTGTGCTCCTTTGGCATTTAGTCATGCCAGCCATATGACCAGAGACGTCTTCAGAAAGCGCTGGCTCTTCGGCTTTGAAACAGAGATGAGCACTGCCCCCTANTTAGGGTTAGGGTTAGGGTTAGGGTTAGGGTTAGGGTGAAAATCAAGGTGCATCTTATACACTGAATACAACAATTTTTGGCCTACTGAAACCTCATTCCCTTTGCAAAAATGGAGCTGCAGAGCGTTTGGAAGCCTTGCAAAGTGCTCCAGGGGAATGGGGAGGGCAAAAATGGACAGAAATGAGCCACTTTTGCCCCCCAGCCCCCAGGAGCACTCTGCAAAACTCCCAAAGTTCTGCATGCCCCTTTTTTGCAAAAAACAACCCGTTTTTGCAAAAAAATGGGTCAATTTTTGCTCATTTTTGGCTGACTACCAGCCTCCAGGAGCACTCTACAAGCCTCCCAAAGCTCCATACGCCCTTTTTTTGTTTTGCAAAAATGAGGCATGCAGAGAGTTTGTGAGGCCTACAGAGTGCAAAAAACTTTTTTTTAAATTTACCTCTTCAAAATCATAGTGTGTTTTATACTCCCATGCATTTTATAGTCTGGAAAATGTAGTATATATTTACCATTTGCTCTGGCTTCCCTGTCTCTCAGTATCACCTGCCATCTAAAGAAGATACTTGGAATATTACTTTTTATTTTCCCAGATACTGAAAAATGCACCAAGTGCCCAGATGATAAATATCCAACGGAGAACAGAGTCCAATGTATCCCAAAAAGAATAACCTTCCTATCTTATGAAGAACATCTGGGCATAATCCTTGTGTTCTTTGCTCTATTCTTGTTCTTAACCACGGGCCTTAATCATATTCCTTAAATACCTAGAAACTCCTATTGTCAAAGCCAACAACCAGGACCTTTCTTTCATCCTCCTGGTTTCCCTCTTGCTCTGCTTCTTCTCTGCCTTTCTCTTCATTGGCCAACCAAGGGTTTCTACCTGTCTTCTTTGACAAGTGGTGTTTAGCTTTGTCTTCTCAGTGGCTTTGTCTTCTGTGCTGGCCAAAACAATCATAGTAGTGCTGGCCTTCTTAGCCACAAAACCAGGGAACAGAGTAAGAAGATGGTTGGGGAAGAGCTTGGCCAACTCCATCATCCTTTCTTATTCTGGTGTCTAAATTTTCATCTGTGCCATGTGGCTGGGGATTTCTCCCCCATTCATTGACTCTGACCTCCACTCCCAGCCTGAAGAGATCATCCTTCAATGCAATTAAGGCTCTGTTTTATGTTGTCCTCAGCTACATGGGTTACTCACGGAAACTCAATCTTTCCGAGCACAATTACAACATCTGGGAGAAGGAGTTGCTGGAAATCAAGGTGGCGTTTGAGGCCTGGAGTCATCACCTGGAAAGGGCCAGGCATCAGGTCGAGGTCTGGATGGACCATAGGAATCTAGAGTCCTGACAACGGCATGCAAGTTGAACCAGCGCCAGATCCGGTGGTCTCTGTCTTTGCCCGGTTCAATTTCAAAGTGACTTACATTTCTACTGCGCAGAACCAAAGGGCAGATGCCCTGTCCAGGAAACCAGAGTACTCTGACCCTGCAGACTCGCTTCCACCCAGGACTGTTCTACCCGTTGAATCCTTCACTGCAGTACATGAGCCTGTGAACCTACGGTCACTGATATGGGAAGCGCAGCGGGGCAATGAGTGGGTGGAGCAATGGCAGAGGTAGGGCCAGCTTCCCCGTGGACCTTCAACAATGACCCTTTGAGGTATCGGGACCAGCTCTATGTGCCCACAGGGCCCCTCTGTGGACTGGTTCTCTCCCAGTGTCATGACAATCCATTGGCGGGACATTTTGGCCTTATCAAGACTTTGAACCTGGTCTCCCGTACTTTCTGGTGGCCTCACTTATGAGACAACGTGCAGATGTACGTCATGTTGTGTGTACATTGTTGATAGGCCAAGTCAGCGACGGGAGCTCCTCCAGGTTTATTGAAGCCCTTGCTGACCCTGGACAGACCCTGGGGAGCCATGTCCATGGGCTTCTTGACAGAGCTGCCTCTGTCTTCAGGGTTTACCAGGGTCCTCGTGGTGGTGGACATGCTCACCAAGATGGCACATTTCATACCTTGTCAGAGATTGCCAACAGCCCACACCACTGCCCACATGTTCATCCAGCATGTTTTCTGGCTGCACGGCCTACCTGACCGGGTTGTATTGGACCGTGGGACACAATTCACGGCCCAGTTCTGGAAAGGGCTGACGGCAGCTCTAGGCTCCCCAGGGTCTGTCCAGGGTCAGCAAGGGCTTCAATAAACCTGGAGGAGCTCCCGTCGCTGACTTGGCCTATCAACAATGTACACACAACATGACGTAGATGTCCAGGTTTGTTTGTCCTTGGTGCACCATCCCAAAACCGATGGGGGTACGGAGAAAGTGATTGGGATCCTGAAACAGTACCTGCGCTGCTTCATGAATCAGCAGCAGAACAACTGGGTGGAGTACCTAGCTGTGGCAGAGTTTGCATTTAACTCACAGCATACCTCCACACGGATGACGCCCTTCATGGCTAACATCAGGTATCGCCCTCGCTTTTTCCCTCTCACCCCAGTGGACTCCCTGGTCCCCGCAGCGCAGGACTTCCTCTCTGAGCTCCAGGCGATCCACCAAGTGGTGCACCGCTTTCTGAATCAGGCAATGGAGGACTACAAAAGGGTAGCAGATACGTCTTGCTGTGCAGTGCCGGAATTGGCTGTGGGAGATCGCGTGTGGCTGTCCATGCGGCATCTTCTGTCCCACCAGCCAGCTAAGAAGTTGGACCACCAGTATCTTGGGCCATTCCCCATGGAGGCCGTCATCAACACGGTGGCCTATCGCCTGACACTACCACGCTTGATGCGAGGTCACCCGGTGTTCCATCACTCGCTCTTGATCCCTGAGCGGTCGGCTTGTCCTCTCCGCCAACCCTCTTCCCCCCAGCCATCATCGCGTGGGGTGGAAACATGGCTGCCACATGAAGTTGCCTGGATCTGAGACTCGAGATCGCTAAAGGGACGTTTTCAGTACTTGGTAGACTGAAAGGACAAGGGTTCGGATGGGGGTACCTGGACCGATGCAACAAACATGCATACCCCTGCTTTGATGTGCGTCTATCATGCGTAATATCCCTCGAGGCCACATCCTGAGTGTCAGACCCAGGGGAAGGGCCCTGTGGTGAGGGATAGTGTTGGGGTCCAGCAGGACCTGTTGGAGCTGCAAACAGACTCCGACAGCGAGGGGCCCTATGAGTCGGCTCTGGAAGATGTTGAGGACCCTGGACAGGGTTCCGACTCCGAGCAGGGATAAGAGAGGCTGGTTGGCCACTAGGAGGTGCCTAAGGCATGGAGCAGTGGTGAAAGCCAAAGGGAGTGTGCTTCTGACATCAGGCCATGGAGCAGTAGAGAGAAAACAAGGCAGGTGGTCCTGGACACCCGGCAATGGTGGGCAGATTGAAGTAGAGAACAACTATGCAGATACAGAAGATAATTGGACCCAGGTGGTTGTAATTAGCCTCCTCTCAAGATAGTATATAAGGAGGTACTTTGGGAGGAGTCTGGTTGCAGGATTCAACTTAATTATCAATGCTGGAGAAGCTGTTATCTGTATCTTTTGGAGTCTGGGTTGCTGCCAAGGTTCTTTATCTGTTCATTCGTGTTTGGGCTTTCAGCCACGAAGATTCATGTTTGCTGCTAATAAAGTGTTGTGGCATTCCAGCTAAGCTTGTCTCGGCATTCGTTACTGGATGGAGGAGGGGATCAGAACAGGTTTCCTAGCTGTCATTTGCTTCATAGTGGCTTTCTAAGCCAGAAAGTTGCCTGGGGCCTTCACTTTTAGCATGCTGGTCTTCTGAAGTATCTGGGTCTCCTTCCTGCCCACTGACCTGAGTGCCAAAGGAAAGTCCATGGTGGCCATGCAGGTCTTCTCAATCTTGGCCTCCAGTCCTAGACTACTTGACTGCATCTTCATCCCCAAGTGCTACATTATCATCCTGAGACCAAATCTAAACACTAAGGAACATGTAATAATAAAAGTAGGGAACTGAACATGAACCTGTTTCTTAGGCCCATATCATTTAATTATTTGTTATTATTGGGTTTTTATGTTTCTTTGTATGTATTTGGCAATTTAGATTATTAAAACCTAAAGGAAATAAAATTATGAAGTGTTACTAATCCAATGAAAATACAAAACAATTATCAAACAATAAAATAAAGAATTAATATTTAATATTTATACTTTTGAACTCGATAGGTGGTTATTGTCTCTTAACATTTAATCGTTCATTATAATTACTATATGTGTGCTTCCTTTGCATTGTAAGATTTAAAAGGAAACAAAAACATGAAAATTAATCAAATTAAAGTTCAAGAAAATAATCACATTAATCTTTCTTTATTTTTAAACTGTTGGTACCGTGTTTCCCCGAAAATACGACAGGGTCTTACTTTGTTTTGACCGACGAAATATGGCCTTGGGCTTATTAAAGGGGAGGGCTTATTGTTTTTCAGTTGCCGGGTGGCTGCTCCCTTGCGATCGGGCTCCCAAAGAGTTGGGCACAGCCTCAGGGTTGAATGGCTGTGTTGCGCTGTCTCAGCAGCAACACAGCAGCCATGATGAGACTACGCTCATGAGCAGCCGCCCAGCAACCCTGGGCAAAGTGCCGCTGACTGACCTAGAGGTACCCGGAAGACACCAAGCAATGCGAGCTCCTGTTTGCCGCCCTCCACCTCTCACGGCTCGGAGCCTTCGGAATGCTCCTAGGTGAGTGAATGGGGCTCTGCACGGCTGGAGGGGGGGTTTCACAAGTGGCTTTTCTGTTCCCCGCTCGCGCAACTTGCAGGCTCATGATGCCCTTGGCTAACTCTACAGTACCTGCAGAGCCAGGGCATCTACGCTGCTGACGCCGCCTGCCACTTGGGTTTTTTTTGCGGCTTTCAAAGCATGGAGGATGGATGCCGCTCTGGAATTATGCTCTATGGTAGCGTACAACCATAGAGTGTACTCCCAGAGCATTATCCTACCTCAATGCTTTGGAAGCCGCAACAGAGGACGGATGCCACTCTGGGACTACACTTGATGGTTGTATGTTCTGCAGCCCACAACCATAGAGCGTACTCCCAGAGTGGCATCCATCCTCCATGCTTTGAAAGCCCCCCCCAAAAAAAACCAAGCGGAGGGCGGTACTAGCAGCAGTGATGCCCTGGCTCTGCAGGTACTGTAGAGTTAGCCAAGGGCATCGTGAGCCTGCAAGTCACACGAGTGGGAGTGGAAAAGCCCCTCTCCAGCCATGCAGAGCCCCATTCACTCACCTAGGGGCATTCCAAAGGCACCAAGCCACGGGAGGCGGAGGGCGGCAAACAGGCACTCACATTGCTTGGCAGCTTCCGGGTACTGCTAGGTCGATCAGCGGCTCTGTGCCCGGCTGGAAAGGGGGGTTGTCGGGCGGCTGCTCTTGAGTGTGGTCACCTCATGGTTGCTGTGTTGCTGCTGTGGCAGCACAACACAGCCATTTGACCCTGAGGCTGTGAGTGGCTCTTTGCGAGCCCGCTTGCAAGAGAGCAGCTACCCAGCAACCCCTTCTTTTCAACTAGGCACAATGCCGGTGACCAATGTAGCAGTACCCCGAAAGCACCAAGCAATGTGAGCGCCTATGCCCCCCACCTCGTTCCCATGGCCTGGCACCTTTGGGATACCATTAGGTCAGCAAATGGTGCTCTGCCTCGCTGGAAGGGGGTGGTTGTCCAGGGGGCTTATTTTTTGGTGGGGGTAATATTTTTGCCCACCCAAAATATGTGGCAAGGCTTTAGTTTCAGAACAGGTTGTATTTGCGGGGAAACACGGTAGTCTTCATTTTTCCCAAATTTCGTAGAATAGAACAGAACAGAAACCAAAACAGAACAGAACAGAAGCTGGAATGGACCTTGGAGGTCTTCTAGTCCAGCCCCCTGCTCAAGGAGGAGAACCCATACCATTTTAGACAAGTGATTATCTTAGTCTGAAATGATATAGGTTCACCTGCTTGAGCAGGGGCTAGATCAGTGTTGGGTTCTGGATCCCGTCACAACCGGTACACTGCAATGGGGTTGGGTGTCCACCACGTGCATGCATGTGCAGCACACATGCACAACCATCACCCTGCGATGCTCCAGCTGCTCTGCAGAGCATCGTGCAGGTGCCGTACGCTGTGTGTGTGCGAGTGCATAAATGGCCCGGTTGGGTCAAATGCAGGTAAGGAAAGTGGGTGGGTGGGCCCTCCGAAGCACTGTACTGGAACAGTTCCTGCTGCTCCCCGTAGGCACCGGTATGCCCGTATCAGGGTGTACCAGCTGGAACCCACCACTGGGCTGGACTAGAAGACCTCCAATGCTTAAGCAACCTTTCAAGAGAGTAATGCCCAGGACCTTCGAATACTTTAGGCTTGCCAAATAACTTCAAATTTAGTTAGGAGAATTTCAACCTCATCACCTTGCAGGGTACTTGAGAATTATTATTTCCATTTATCTGAGACCTGGGATGAGATGGGACTCTGTGTTCGGCCCTGATAGCCTCCTGCAGCCCTCTTCCAGCAAAAACAGAGCCCAGGGATGGCACGCACATCCCCCTGAAGCTCTGTTTTTGCTGATAGAGGGCTGCGGGAGGCTATAGCAGCCTTGAGAGACATCAAGCTAGCCATATCCACCCTGTCCCCTCAAGGTCAAGTACAACCCTGATAAAGCCCTCAATGAAATCAAGTTTGACACCCCTGGTCTACATCTATTTGGAATGAGTTAGTGATTTCATATTTATTTGAGTGAAACCCAGATGCTACTTGGCTATTGTTCATATCTACTTTTATTTCCCATGGATGCTGAGCATTAACGTGTTTTCTTTGGCATTCCTTGTTTCTCTCTTTATTCCCTACCTCAGTCCAAATGTGTGGAAAACTGCCTTCCTGGATTTGTTAAGTGGAAGTGAGAAGGAGAACCATTTTGCTGCTACAACTGTGTTCCTTGTCCAGAGGGGACCATCTCCACTCAGAAAGGTGAGCAACACCAAAGAAAAGAGCAGGCCTTATAAAATAACAGAGTTGGAAGTGACCTTCAAGGTCTTTTAGTCCAACCCCCTGCTTAGGCAGGAAACTGTTCTTTATACTGTATTAGCCTCCAGTACCCTAATCCTCTTTGTTGCTTTTCTCTGCAGTCTTTCTAGAGTCTCCATCGTGGCAACCAAAATTGAATGCAGTATTCCACATGTGGCCTTACCAAGGCATTATAAAGTGGTATTAACACTTCATGTGATCTTGATTTTATCCCTCTGTTTATGTAGCCTAGAACTGTGTTGGCTTGTTTGGCAGCTGCTGCATACTGCTGGCTCATATTTAAATGGTTGTCCACTAGGACTCCAAGATCCCTCTCACAGTTACTACTATTGAGCAAGGTACCACCTATACTGTACCTGTGCATTTTGTTTTTTTGCCTAAATGTAGAACTTTACTCTTTTCATTTTATTAGATAGTGCCCAATGTTCAAGTTTGTCAAGATCCTTCTGTATTATAAGCCTATTTTCTGGAGTGTTGGCTATTGATGTCACACACTAACCACAGTTTCTCCAACTGGGAACAATTTCATTAGATAGTGGTAGGGCAGGAAGTCATCTGAAAAGTAACAAAAGTAAAAGTAACAAAGGTAAGGGTAAATGTTCCCACCACACATACCATATGTTTCGGATTATAAGATGCACCAGAGTGTACGATGCACCAAGATTTTGAAGATGTAAATTTAAAAAAAAGGTTTTGCCCTCCCCTGACCCGAGGAGCACTCTGAATGCCTCCCAAATCCTATGCATACCCCATTTTTTATGAATGGGGTATGCGATGCGTGGGGGTTTGAGAGGCAAAAACAGGCCCATTTGTCGCAAAAATTCAGTGTGCAGAGGGTTTGGGAGGCCTGTAGAGTCCTCCTGGGGGCTGGGAGGGCAGAAACGAGCAAAAAGCGGCCAATTTTTCATGAGAATGGGGCCATTTTTTGCAAAATAATGGGATGTGCAGAAAGTTTGGAAGGCCTGCTCCTGGGGGTTTGGGAGGGCAAAAACACCCCTGTTTTTGTGAAAAATGGGTTCTTTTTCACTCATTTTGCCCTCAGGAGCAAGTTTCAGGAGTCCAAAAATGCTGCATTCAGTGTATAAGATGCACTCAGATTTTCACCCTCTTTTGGGGGAGGGGAAAGGTGTGTCTTATACTCTGAAAAATGTGGTATGTGCTAGTCATTCACAACTCTAGGGGGTAGTGCTCATCTCCGTTTCAAAGCCAAAGAGCCAGTGCTATCCAAAGATTTCTCTGTGGTCATGTGACCAGCATGACTGAATGCTGAAGTTGCAGAGAATGTTGTTATCTTCCCACCAAAGGTGGTTCCTATTTTTCTATTTGTATTTTTTACATGCTTTCAAATTGCTAGGTTGGCAGAAGCTGGGACAAGTAACTAGAGATCACTCCATTATGCAGCACTAGGGATTTGAACTACCAACCTTTTTGATAAAATGCTCAGCATCTTAGCCACTGAGCCATCTACCACAGTTTCTCCAAACTAGGAACAACTACACTAGATAGTTGTAGGGCAGATAGTCAGCTGAAAAGTAAAAAAGAGCACCTGTATTTCAACCCTTTCAAGGAGGCAGACACTAAATGTCTGCTCTAGAAGATTCCACAACTGAAGTCAGAAAGTCTGACCACCACCTCAGCCCAGAGAAGCTGGAACTGGAAGCTAAGAGAGAGGAAGTTATGAAGACAGTGAAAGTTGGTCTAGAGCTTAAATAAATGGAGATTGTTGAGAAAGATCACATAAGAAGTATAACAAGAAACACCAATACCAGTTATAACCATCACCTTCAAAGATATGCAAAGGAAGCATGCATGTCCCGTATGTAATGAAAAATTAAATGACATGCGCCTAAGAAACAATTTCACTCTCAGTTCCCTCCTTTGATCATGATATGTTCCTTTGTGTTTAGATCTGGTCTCAGGATGATAATGTAGCACTTGGGGAAGAAGATGCACCCCAGAAGCCCAGCACTGGAGGCCAAGATGGAAAAGATCTGCACGACCACCATGTATTTCCCTTTGGTGCTCAGGTAGGTTGGCACAAAAGTCACCCAGACACTGCAAAAGACCAGTATGCTGAAAGTGATCAGCTTGGCTTCATTGAAGGCCCCAGGCAGATTCCTGGCCAGCAAAGCCACTGTGAAGCAGATGGCAGCCAGGAAGCCAAGGTAGCTGAGGGTGATGTAGAACATGACAACAAAGCCTTCATTGCATTGCAGAATCATCACTCCAGGCTGTGAGTGTGGGTCAGAGTCAGGGAATGGGGGGGGAATGCCAAGCCAGATGGAGCAGATGAAAATTTGGACAGCAGAACAAGAAAGGATGATCCAGTTGGCCAAGCTCTTCCCCCACCATCTCTTCACTCGGTTTCCTAGTTTTGTTGCAAGAAAGGCCAGCACAACAGTTATTGTTTTGGCCAACACAGAAGTCACAGCTACTGAAAAAACAATGCTGTACACGGTTTGTCGGAGAAGACAGGTGGCTTTCCTTGGTTTGTCAATGAAGAAAAAGGGGGACAAGAAGCAAAGCAGGAGGGAGACCAGCAGGATGTAGGAGAGGTCCCGGTTCTTGACTTTCACAATAGGAGTTTCTAGGTATTTCAGGAATATCATTAAAACAATACCTATGGATAGGAACAAGAGTAGGGCAAAAGAGACCAGGATGATGCCCAGATGTTCCTCATAGGTCAGGAAGGTTATTCTTTTGGGGATACATTGGATTCTGTTCTTGGTTGGATATTGATGATCTGGACACTTGGTGTATTTTTCACTATCTGAGAAAACAAAAATAATAAGATTTTTATAAATTTCCTTTCACCTTTCAAGAAAGACATTTTTGGAAATAGATAAATAAATGTAACATTTGTGTCTATTTTCTTGTCAGGTAAAATTGATGTAGATTCATCTGCAACATTCCTTAAATTTAAATGAATTTGGATGTTCCCCAGACAGATAAATATGGATGGACACTCCCAAACCAACAAGTAGAAGAGATATTTCTGGCAGAAGTAGCCATGCCCAATCGACAACGTCCTTCTCTCTCTTCCCACCTTATCCTTTAAGCTCTTTTTCTTATATCCCCCCTTTTGAAAGAAATTGGGCATTATGAAATTAACAGACAAGGACAAAAAGTTCAATCTTAGATGTGTCTACTAACAGCACATTGATTAAAATGCTCTGGGTGAATCTAGTAATCTTTCCAGTGGTGGGTTCCTATCAGTTCAGGTTGGTTTAGTCAAACTGGTAGTGGTTTGGTGGCCTGGGTTGTTAGAACTGGCAGCGACCCAGGCCTGCCACCCCCCCTGAACTTGATCTCCTACAGCGCCATCTTATTTTTTGCTTCTGGGCATGAGCAGAAGGGAGCAAATGCAGCCTTGTCTGTCATAAAAGACTTCAAGGTTCTCTCTTTCTCCAGAGCCTCCAAGATTTCTGAGTGCAAAGATATTAGACTAAAAGGCTTTGATGTGATATCAAAGTGGAAGCATATTATGGCTGTGTTTGTGTGATATCTGAAAGCAATCCAAAATGTCTTTTGCGATTTAGCACCAAGAGAAGAAATAAATCACTCTGATTTGGATAATAACCACAAAGAGAGGCATCATCTCTTTAAACTCTGAGTGAATCAACAGGCAGGTGCTCAGTTGGCGGAATCAGAAATGGGTGAAACTCTGAAAATGTGCCCAGGAGTAAGACAGGAGAACTTTCTCCCAAACATTTCATTCCTCCCATTGCATCATCATTACAGCATTACAGTATTACAGTATCATGGCAGCTGGTCAGAGTATTTCCCTGACATCCCTTAGAAAACCTCTCGATACATTCCAGTCTCAAGAGAGAATTTTGGCATGAAGCTCATATGACATTCTTCTCTAGATATAAAAGCTATGAAACCTGTTGAACTGATCTAGGCAAGGAAACCTAATAAAACTTGTCTAATTTGTTTGATGCTTTATAGAACTTGGTTAAGTGTGTGGGAAGAATCAGAAAGTGGAGTCATTAATTTTGTGCCCTCAAATATGGCCCAGAGCAGGTGTAGTACAGGGAGATTCTCCCCTCTATGAACCCATATCATCCTGTTGGATCCAGAAATCAGCCCTTCTCTCTGGCATCCCTGCCTTGTGGAAGAGCCTCCCTGGAGATCCAGATGGCCCCAAATACTTCAGGTTTAGGCTAGTTCTGTTACAGTTGTTGATGTGGATGTGTCTTCAGTGATTGATTGGCTAATCAAGTTTATATGCCCAGATATCTCAGAGAAAGTGGTTCTGGGCAGAGCACCACAATCCAATAAAAGAATAAATACATCTGAAGGCAGCTTTGGAAGGCAACTCAGGCTGAGCTTGAACTACACACTGTCAGAATGGTTCTGAACAATGGAGAGTTGAAATGGAAGAATGAGAAGATGGTGAAGGTGATTTCCTCAGGTGTTTTCTCCATTTGTTGAGTCAGTTTCCTGAGCTTGGAATTTCCCACTTAGCATAGAAGACTCAGAAGCTCATTTTACCATGTTCAAAAGAGTCTCTATGTCTTGTAAAAGGCCTGAGAGTGAATGGGTTTCCCATGTTTAATGCTAAAGGCCTTGAGAGCTCATAGTAGTTCTTCCAGCAAGAGGAGGAGTGGATTACTCTCATGTCAAAGAGATTAATCCTGTATAGGTATGAGGTCTCTCCTTACAAGCAGAGGTTTAGGAGCCACGCCTATGAGAAACAGAAAGGGATTCATGAATGTGGACAAGGTTGGAAGATCTAGGCAGGAAATGGTTGAGGCCAGAGGAAAGAAGCAAATAATAGTAGAGACGGTAATTTTGGAACAGTTTCTTGAGATACTCCCTGTGAAACTGAGGTTTTGAGTTCAAGAACACAACCCAGAATCCGTTTGGTTGAATCAGCTGAGAACTTATGGCAGCAAAAAAATATCAGAGAATATTAGAAGGGAAGATGCAGAAGGAGACTGGAGAACAAGAAGAACTATTCCAGAAGGTAGGAACTTTAAGGAGCTGAAAGAAAGAAAATTCAAAGGACTAAAGACATATTTAGTTCCTGCCAAATTAAAGGAATATAATGGGAGGTCAGAGGGACCCATAGTTGTTGCAACTGTGGGAAAAGTGGCCACTTATCCAAGGACTGTAAAAGGGGAAAAAGGAATGACAAATTCCAGGCTATGTGCCAGAGTCCCTAAACAGTGAAGAGGAGAACTGGACAAGTAAACGCAAAATTAAATTGGGAGACAAGAAAAAGAAAATCTACCAGGCCAACCTCCAGAGAATATGATGCAATAGACTTGAACCAGGGATGGCCTTGCTGGCACTAAAGAAAAAGGATCCAGAATCATTGGATGTTGCTTGAGAATCGATACTGCAACCATCACATGGAAAAAAATGTGTATTATTTTAGACTTAAGGGATAGTCAAAAGAAAGAGAAAGAAAACATGCAACTGTGGGGAAAGCAGTCATTGGTCCAAAACTGTAGAAGCCAAAGAATAAATGGAATGCTGCAAGTAGTACAAGCATCTCTGGGGGAAAAAAAATATGTTCCTGACAAAATAATGGGATTGCTGTGGGAGGCATAGTAGATACTAAGAGTAGATGAACATTGGTGTGGCCTCATTTAGTAAAACAGGCATAATCACGCCTCTTGCAAGTTTGTTTGGGTGGACTGAGATGGTTGCATTGGGCAAGGCCAAAGTACAGGCCCAGGCAGGTGTTATTCTTAACTTGCTGTGTAACCTAGTAGTTGGAATAGATTTTCCACTTACTGAAAGTTGGACTTAGAGAACAGGATTGCGGAAGGAGGATAAGATTGTGTGAATAGCTAAAAGGGCCCATTGTAAGGCAAAGATGAAGATGGACTAAAGTTTTAAAAATGTACATTTCAGGCAACAGATCCTTTTTCAGTTAAATCCATGGCCTTGGAAATAGCAAAGACTGCCTGGTTTACTTGGTCACCTTATCCCAAATCTCAAGGAATTCCGAATAGACCTTGGCCCTGATGGAAACTCTCAATGGAAAATCAACACAAAGAGACGTCCTGCGTAAACCATCCGAATCCTCAGACAAGCTTTATTCCAATTGGAGCTCCAGCTATAAGTGGAGTGACAGATGGAGAAATCCTTCCATTTCTCCCTTCTGCTTAGAGTTGTTCCTTGAAGGAAGGGAGAGAAGAGCAGGAAATGGAGCTCCAGCTTTCCTTCCTCCCCTGTTTGGGCTTCAGCTCCTACCCCTTCCCTAACATTGTATGTGGCAAAGTATCTTGGCCTCTAGGCAGCTTCCAGAGAAGGTGGACTCTCCCTGCAGCCCCAATAGCTAAGTCCATATAATAAAGCCTTTGGGTTCCTGCCATTTTCTATCTTAATTTATTTTCCCATTCACATGGCAAAATGCTGAAAACTTCCAATTTGGAAGCCATTGGACCATGTGGCTCATTTGGATAAGAGAGCAATGTGGTCTCAGGCTGTCTTCTACCTACTTTCCAGGATCAAGTTTTCAAAAAGGATGTTGAGTCTTCCAGGTGCTGTTTTGTAGTGGGAGTCAGTCCTTTTGGGACATGTCCAGAAAGGGTGTTGGGAGAGTGATAACTCAACCCTGAAGTCATGGAATTCTGAGGCCCCACAAGGGGAAGGTCATCCAGAATGTGGCCACTGGGGCATCAACTGCATATTCTTCACATCCAGCTCTACTTGCCTCATCTACTTTCAAGAATAGGTCATAGAGAGGAAACAGAGCTTGTTCACACAGACTTAGATTTATATATTCATCCCACCTAAGGAAAAAGACTTATCCGCCCTCTCTTCTTCTGCTGCTGCTGTCTTTTGTTAATAAAACTTTCTTATTTTTTATCCTCTCCTTCATTAATAATTTAATTATTAATTCACTTATTTTAGTGTTTGGGGATTATTTTGGAATTTTAATTTCATTTCATTTTACACACTTCCTAAGTTTATCAGTTTTTTAATTGCCAAACTGTATATAGAAGTCAATAATAACTTCAAAGAAAGAATGAATTTCATGAACCTAAGAAACAATTTTAATATTACTTCCCTGCTTTTATCATTAGATGTTCCTTAGTGGTCAGATCTGGCCACAGGATGATAATTTTCTTCTGTTTTATCATTTGATTTTCTTTTTCTCATAGTCCAGGGGTGTCAAACCCGCATCATCACAGTGGCATCACATGACATATTTGGACTTTTCACCCCTTTGCTAAACCAGACAGTACATGACACATCCATTTGAGAGTTTGAGAGACCTGCCTTAATCCCTCCCTCCCTGAAAGAAAAACAGGCAGAAGATAGAGGCTGAGTTCTCTGATTTGCAATAAATTTATTTCCCATACACATGAATGTGAACACTTACTTGTCAAAGTTTCCCAAATGTATTGGGTTGTTTTCCCCTTGAGGATTCTCATCCATGGAATCCTTCCCAAGCTCTTTTTAAGTTTATTGAATTCACTCTCTTAAAGTCTAAGATTCTAGTTTGACTTTATTGCCAGTGTTTGTATAATGTTGAATTCCAATATTGTATAATTACTCCCCTCCTGCAAAGTTCCTGTTGCTTCAACACCATTTATCATTTCATCTCTGCTAGTGAGAATGAACTCCAATATGTCTGATCCCCTAGTTCCTTTCTGTACTTTTTGGGAGACAAAGTTGTCTGGTAGGTTTGTCAGGAACATGTTTGATCTTTCACTTGGTGTAGAGTTTCTCTCCCAGTTGATGTCAGGGTAGTTAAAGTTCCCCATTACTATTTTGATGTGTTTACTATGTACTTAGTTGACTAGCAAAAAGTTCATTTATTTTCTCTGTTTGGTTAGGTGGCCTATGATATACACCTATAGCAGTGCCATATTTTCCCCTTTTATACTGATCCAAATGCATTCAAGACACTTTTCGGCATTCTTGAGTTTTATCTCTGTAGTCATTTAGTTATTTTGTATATATAGTGCAACTCCACAATTTCTTTTATTTCTGTTTCTTTTAAATAATTGAAACCCCTCTAGCTGTATATTCCATTTGTGGGTTTCATCCCACCAAGTTTCCCTAATGGCAACAATATAATATCTACATTATTTGTTCATCATTTGTTATATCATTTGTTACTTATGCATTAGTCTAATCCTTTCATTTTGAAATGCATAAGTACGAATGCATCTCTTTATGTCCCACTAAGACATGCTGAAAAACACAGTAGAAGAAATTCAATAATTTCTTTGGGTCCTACACTTGATTCTGAATTCTGAAAGAAGCATGAAGATGAGGTTGAGACCCCGTTAACTATCTCTTAAGTTACCCACCAAACTTAAATCAGTCCAAAGCCCAGGACACGACATATGTGTATACTCTCTTGTAAGACTGCTTAAAGGTAACCAGTGTGTTGAGGAAAAGGAAGGTTGTCTATAGTTTAAAAACACAAATATCAGCTATTAACGTATTTCATTGTTTAATGAATATCCTAGATGTTAATTTCATTTTTTTTTCCTGTGTGTTAACTAATGGAAACCATTAAATACAGGCTATCAAAGCATATAAACCAACAACAATTGCAATCAATAGTTAAATGTTATGATCCTAAGAAACAATTTNCCAATCATCTGAAAGCATCTCATTTTAGCCCATCAATCAGTGCCTTAGAACTGGAATCCCAAATATCTACATTTTATACAGTTAAAAGGAAAATTTACCCACAAATTTATTTTAGAAGCAAATCTGTGTCTTCAGTCCAAAATAAACCTAAATAAAACCTAAACCAACCTAAACCTCCACATGCTTCAACATAAAAGCTCATGTGTTTATATTTATTTATATATCTAAATGTAGATGGTTCCATGCCCCAAAGACTTTGCAGGCTTCACAGATTCAAACATTAGCTACAAGACAAGTGGAGTAAGAGATTACAAAGAAAAATGGGAAGGATAACAAAACCAAAACAGGAATGAAAAAAAGGAACCCACATATCCAGGGAAGCTCATCAGTCACCTTGTCCAGGGTGGGTTGGGGGCTCTGGATCATTCAGTGAAGAACCCCTCTATAAGGGAGATGAGAGACTAAGAACTTTGATCAACAAACAATAAACAAACAAAAATTGTCCAATTCCTTAGGAATTACCAGATCAAACATGTCTGGGATTACACCACTAGGCCATGCCCCTTGCATCGTAACCTTCCCTGTCCAGATCAGCACAAATCTCAATAATTTTTTCCTCCAGATAGCCTAAATAAATCTCCTTGAGGCCCAGCAGATGTTCTGAGTGGATCTCCATAACCACTAAGAAGCAGGTCACCCTAGATATAGCTACTGCATTACTATTAGCAGACACAATGAGGGTGGGAAAATACTGGTGTTTCATGGCCCATATCACCATGAAATTTGAAAGGATTATCATAACATGTTCGGTCATGTTTTCCTTCAATGGACTCCTTCAAATCTTTCATTTTCTACCCCAAATGGCACTCAAGGATGACCACATGAGGGATGTGATCCAAGGCCCAATCCACCTGCACATTCCAGGTAGTGGCTCAGGACTTAACTGGATTCACAAATCCAATGAAAGAAAACTTCTTATGCATAAACCGAGTGTTCAAAGGCAACAATCAGAACTTGGTAGATAGTCACTGAGAGCAGAAGCCATAGAGTGGGATAAGCTTTGAGTAACAGATCAAATGTTAACAAGTATGGCCCACCTTCCATCTGTCACTCTCAGAATGGTCCTATCTATTGCAATAGCTCCCCTATCTCATTCA